GGGAGGAATAGAAAAAGATAGAAAATCTTATTTATGAAAAGCTATTGATTAATGATTCTCAAATTAATCAAAAGATATTTCAAAAATCAGATGATTTTTCAGAAAAAATGGAAAAAGAAATGGATGAAATAAAAAAGAAGTCTATATAACATTTGAATTATCAAATGAAAAACAGAAATGAAGAAACTCAATAATCTATCCTGATGTAATCAGAAATATAGATTTCAGATGAAATGGAATAATATATATAACAAAAAGAAGAAGAATTAAAAAATGATTATGAAACATTTACAGAGTAGGAAAAAGGAAGAGTTAAAGAAATTGTAGAAGAATCAAAGAATTTAGAATTAAAACTTATAGAAAAATTAGGAAGAGAGATTGAAATTGCAATACATTCATGGAAAAAAAATGAAAAAGAGAAGGAAGAATAAAGAAAAGAATAGGAAAAATAATAAGCAATCTAAGATTTAGAAAAATAAAAAGAAATTTAAGAATTTAAAGATAAATAATAATTATTGCTTAATTTATTAGGATATATCTAAACTAATCATAAGATTTTCATTGAAAAACTTATAGAAAAATAAAAAATAATTACTGAAATTAATTCACCAGATAAAAAAAAACAAGAATTGTTAACCTATATTAATGAGTAGTTACAGAAACATAAAGAGATAATCTTAGATAATGAAGAAAAATATAATTTAATATAATAAGCATAGACAAAAGAAATGCTTAAAGAATTTAATGAACTAACTCAAGAAAATGAATAATACTAAAAATTTCTTATGGTTATAATCGAAAGAATAACATAAGAATAAGGTTTACTTGAAAATTAGGTAACAGAAAAAAAAAACCTTGATGAATAGAAAAAATAATAAGAGTTGAGAATGAAAATAGAATAAGAGTAAAAATTAAGAAAAGAAATAGAATAATATTAATCTTAATTCATAAAAGTAAAATAATAATAACACTAATAATCATCTTATATTTAAAAAATTTAAGACTAAATCAGCTTTTATAATAGTAAAGAAATTTAAATGTTTATTTATGGGTAAGAAGACGCTATTAATTATCATTAACAAATAACATAAGTGGTTTAAACTGTAGAATTTTAGGAGAAAAGAATTTAGAAAGATGAAGCTTTACAATAATAAATTGTTACATATTAATCATATAATAGCAAGTTAGAGGAAATTTTATAGGCTTAAAATAGACTCAAAACTCATATTGAAGAGGCAAATAAAAGTATTTAATAAACAGATAAGCAATTTTTGGATAAACATCAGTCTTAAATTCAAGAAT